CAGGGAAAGCCTTCCCTAAACTCAGCTGTCTCCCACAGACCAGACCAGCAAACCACACAGTCTCCAGGTTTCACCAAGTCAGTATCCAGTTGCTACTTCATATTAATCATGGTGAAAACAAAGCCTCCTATTCTTGCTTTAGTAGCCTTCTTGCTATAACTTCATCAATGTCATATCATCTTGTTCAGATATCTTCAACTGTTGTCACCCCTTACCCACACCCCTGCACTCACACAGCCACTCAATGAATCCAGACTCTTCAGCCTCAGTCTCAGTCTAAACCTTGGCTCTGGCATGCTTTAGACCTTATTCTGACTAGAATGTCTAAACCTAGTTCAGGTGCTTAGAAAAGACTGTGGGATGAATGTTTCCCTGACTTCCACCTTCCCATAAGAGGGTATAGATTTGCGGCAGAGCAGAAGGAGCATAGTGGTCAGTGGAAAAGGAACTTGAATTGGGAAGCAGACAGGCCTAGCCCATCCTCCCTTCCACCAGCATCTGCTTGAGCTGTGGAAGTTCCATAGCAAGTTCTGGAATTCAGAGCCTTCATTTTCACTCCCTGAACAAAATTATTGGGCCCACCTGTGAGACCGCAGAGAATATCAGTCATTAGGAAGACCCCAGCTCATTGAAGAGTTTGAAAGGAGCTTGACTGGTGCCTCATCAGGCAGTCATTGCACTACACTGATGATATCTCTGAGATGTGACCTCTGTGTGCCAAATCTGCCTCCCCCCCCCCCATCTTCACAATATTCTCTTCTGGGTCTCCCTCAGCCCAGATTCTGGTCATATTTTCTCTAAATTGTTGCCCTTTACTCTTCATCTTCATTGTCCCACCTCTGATTTCCCCATGTGTCTTCCAAGTTCCTTGTATTACTGTACCACTCTACTGGGTGTCACCTTGCACCTTGTAACCGAGCCCCTGTTCCTTCAACACCTGTCAGAATCTTCCCTCACCAGGTTCCTCCCCTCTGCATTCCTGCTTCCATTTCTCCCAGGCATTCTCTTAATCTATTACACTGACTTGAGGCTCCTAGAGGGCAAAGAGATACATTTTTCTCATTTTTTTTTTTGTTTCATTCTACAATGCTTAGCACAGTGCCTTGCCCAGAGTAGCTGTTTTTCTTGCCAGTTTTGCATGGAGTGGAACTCTTAGTGGGAATGTGGCTCTGAAATGACTCATTAGCCCATCCACAGATCTGAGGATGTAGACTGCCTACATCACTGACTTCCTTATATAAGCTCCTCATACACAGGTCCACCACAGACAAAGTAGAAGTGTCCATCTTCCCTGGATCCCCTCTGCTGTGCTCCCAGCTCCTTCATCTTCATCTGGGTAGTTATGTTTGATTGCTATAGCCTCTTCCCTGGCAGGAGCCCCTGGCCTTCATTGCAATCCTGAATTGCATTTTTCTCAAGTGGAAAGGGAGACAGAAAGTAATGTGATTAAATTATGTTGTTGTTTGTTTAAAATAAAAGATGTTCCTGATAATCTAACAAAGAAATGAGGGAAGAATACCCTGGTGAGGCTGATCCATGCTGAGTAAATCAGTAAGCTTGACTGGAAAGTAGACAGAAAGCAGAGACAAAATCCAGACCATTCCTATAATAATGGAAGCAGCCTGTAGATGAAGAAGTTTGCAGTGCACATTTGCCTATCCATTTAATTTGCACATTTGACTTCATGTGTTCTTTGGTAAATTCTTATAGAATATAAGAGTAATGCCAGCAGCTTGGATAGAGGCTACAACACACCCCCTCTTGGGGAGCTCAGCCCAGGGTAGGAGACAGGCAGTTTACCTCCTTTAGCTCTGCCTACATCACTGCCTTTGTTACATAAACTCCTCAGACTTAGAGGGCAGGAGCCACATCTGTTAGCACGTCCTTTTTACAGCTCTTAGCAGGTAGGTCTATAATAAATGTGCTTTATGGAAATAGAAGAACCAGGAATAGTACAAGCCATAGATGAGCAGGAGAACAGAACAAGTCACAGATGAATAATGGCTCCTCTTGCCCATTTCCAGAACACAGCAAAACTGATAGCCTCAAGTTGTTCTTCCTCACTTTTAAAGAAAGGATTTCAATTAAGATACTTCATTTCATTTCAGTTCAAGGCCTTTATTGAGAAACTTCTACATGTTAGCCTGAGAACAGTGGGAAGAGGGAGAGAGGTGTAGTTAGGTAAATTAAGATGAGGAATGTATGTGGGTGGATAGATTCCAGCAAGAGGCAGAGGGAAGGCCCGGGGTGACACAGGGGAGAATGCACAGTAGGGAGTGCTGTTGGGGCATCTGGGGAATATGGCAAGAGAGATTTGGCTGGATGAAGAATAGAGCAGGTAGGAGGGCTTTCATTCACTGAAGTGACACGGAGGACCCGGGAGATGAAAGGTGGTGAGCAGGAGAATCACAGTGTCAGAAGACGCAAAGGTTAGAGAGGGTAGAGAACAAAAATAAGCAGTCTGCAGAGTCATCTTAAATGAGATCATTCCAGATTCCTTTATCTCAGGCAGAGAGTCTGATTAGCCTATAATATGTGCCTTTCTGTCCTTCCTTTAGGACAAGATAAATATTCTACCTCTGCTTTTAACTTTCTGCTGAGGACAAGCCTTGGGACACCCATGTTACAGGTGAGGAACTATGGATAAAAAGTTGATTAGGTGGGACCCTGAGGCAGGTGCATGAGCCCTTGGGTGCCTGGGCCTCTTCACAGAAGTCTCTTCCCCTACACCAATTCTGTGGTGGAAGAAGCACCTCAGCCATCTGCAGGTGCCCTCCTGGTGTCCTTTCCCTTTAGGAACACCGTTTCTGCAGCTGCCCTACTCCAAACGTAGGTTGCTTGGTTGAGCTGCAGTGGTGGGACTTCACCATCTGCACCAACCAGAACATGTTCCATGTGGATAGGTCAGTTACAGCTGGAACTACAGAACGATGCTCACCAAGACAAATTGTTTTTGCCCCACAGGGACCAAGAAGTTTGCTGATAAGCTACTGAAGAAGTTCACTGACTTCTGCACCAACTGCAATAACTGGCTGGTTATGTTATGAACAAGTTGCCTGAACAAGATGCACACCAGTGCTCCATGAATCCAGGCCACTCGGCCCAAAAGAATCTGGGCCACTCAAGGGCAGAGGATTCCTGTCAGGCTCTAAGGATCAGGTTATCAGTTTCTCTCTGCTAGTTAGTGGGAGCCCTTGCTTCTTTTTGGCCCTCCCACAAGTATTCTATTCTACTCAGGAGAAAGACTTGGGAAGCAGCTGCTGCTGCTACCACCACCCAGATTCTGTCAGCAAGTGCCCAGAGCAGGTGGGAGGCACAGATTTTCTGTGGGAGGGCTTCAGTGTCTGGGAAAGGGGGCAGGCAGCCCCCATGAATGTCTTCGGAGAAGGAATGGCTCCTGTCAGCATCCTTTTTCTCCACTGTCTGTGGAGTAATAAGAGCAGAATCTGCTGCTTCATGTCCAGGAGTGTGCGCAGTATGAATAGAATTAAGTGAAATAATGTAACATAGACTCATACAAACTGTATATACCTGAACTTATTAGAAGCTAATGAAACTTCACTTACAGCCTCTGTCCCCAAACTCATTCCCAACCACAGCAGTCCCACTCTGGGCTGGGCATCATTCCAGGTCAATGCAGTAGATGCAGATCATGAAGACTTCAGAATGTACTGACTTTGAGAGTGGCTGTGAGCTGACAGAGATTTGATTTCATAGGCCCTCAAGCAGGAGCAAGGCTTCTTCCAGTCAGGACTAGTGAGCAGAAAGTACAACACACTAGGTAACTTACCATAGGCTTGTGCTGTAGATCTTGCCAAATGAGTGAGCCCAGTTCTTTAATGCAGACATCATAACATTCTGAAAAATGATTAAGGAAAGCCTCTGTTTAACTCAACTTCGGTTTAGGTCCCACTGTTTTAATAGAACATGACTCAGCATGATGCCTCAACATCAGCACTCTGCACTAATCTGCTCAGGTGATGAGGGTCATAGGCCAGAGGGGAGATGGTTGCATTTACAAACACTTCTCCCTCTTCCTCTCTTCACCTGGAGTTAAACGCATGCCCTGTTGATTTACCTCCTCAGTACCTTGCAAATCTATCCACTTCTCCCAGGCCTTGTGTTACCACTCCAAAGTCCAGCCTTCCTTTGCCTCTACTTTCACTTCAGGTCACGTTCACTAGGAAATTGGGGGCATATTTTTAAAAACTACTCCAATTTTGCCTGCCACTTATTTAGGATTCTTTAATGACATGAACTTCAAAAATCTTAGATTCGGGGCTACAGTTGTACTAAGTTCTTGCCCAGCATGCTTGAGTCCCTGGGTTTGATCCCTAACCACTGCTAAAAACAAGAACTTAAGATGCAGCATACCCTGTACAACCAGGTCCTATGGGCTCTTTCTGTATCCACCCTTGCTATTGTTCAGTCCCTAGACCTTAACAGACTTTACCAATCCTGATCCTTTGCACACAAAATTCATCTGAACTTTTTTTTGCAACTCCTAAGATGCAGCTATTGATGCTGCACATAGAGACTTCAAAGGAGTAGTTTTGTTAATATATATGAATATGGTCTTGGGTCATGGCTCAGTGGTAGAGCACTGGCCTGGCATGTGTGAGGCACAGGGTTCAATTCTCAGCACCGCATATAAGTAAATAAAGATCCTTTGACAACTAAATATAAATATATATATATATGAATATATAATGGTTGATACCTGGCTTGCAGTCTTTTTACCATCCCTTCCCTCAGAAAAACCATTGCTCATTTCTAAGTTTCATTCTTCTCATCTATAAAATAGGAAACTCTATCCTGGGGTAATTGGAGGATCCAAAACAGATGTATATGAAAGGATATACTAATAAGAGATAGTAACAGTTATTTACTCTCTGGTAGCTGTTCTCACATTCCTGACAGGAGTCTTCACCATGCTCTCAAGTCAGCCTCCTGAATGATAGGGCTGGCACAGACACTGCCTGCTATTCATACCATATAACATGGTCATTGGTGTTCTTCAGTGTCCAGTGTGTAAGGCCAATGTTTGCCCTCACTTACTACTTACTACTCTTCCAGAAATGACCCAGCTGAACAAGGACCAGAGAGTGATCTGGGAGAATAACGGGCAGCTGGTGAGTTAGAATGTTGGGTCACATCTCTGTCAGAGCTGGACCCAAACTGAGTGTAGAACTCAGCCTCAGGGAATGGATGATTTGGCTAAACAGTGATATGATTTGAATATATCCCCCCCCCAGAATTTTATGTAATTGAAACTTAATCTTTAAACTCATATTTGTAGTATTTGGGAGGTAGGGCCTTAGGGATATAAGGATTAAATGAAATCATGAGGGTGAGGTCCCAAAGATGGCATTGGTGACTTTGTAGGATAAGCAAGTCAGACTCTGGAGAGCATGCTTGTTCTGTCTTGCCATGTGGTAATGCTCTTTGCCCWGTTGTAATGCAGCAAGAATGCCCTCACAAATTGCATGCCATGTTCTTGGACATCTCAGTCTCCAGAAACAGGAGCCAAATAAACTTCTATTCTTTATATTATGACCTGGTCTCAGGTATTTTGTTACAGCAACAGAACACAAACTCCAGCAGCTTGGGAGGCTGAGGCAGGAGGATTGAGAGTTCAGTGCCAGCTTGAACAGCTTAGCAATTGCAACTCAACAAGACCCTGTCTCTAAATAAAAAGAGCTAAAGAGCTAGGAACATGGCTCAATGGTTAAGCACCCCTAGGTTCAATCCCCGGTACCAAAAAAAAAAAAGAAAAGTGAATCAAAAAGTGATGTGTGAATCAAAAAGTCCACCAAGCCATGCTTTGGTATAGGGGGAAGAGCAATAGGATCAAGACCAAGAGCAGGGTTTAAATTCTAACCCTAACATTTGTTAGCTGTGAAAATTTGGGATGGCCTATCTCTTGAGTCTATTTCCTCATCTGATGATGTGGTCTGACCCGTTTCCTCAACTTGTGTACACATGCGTGCGCGTGCGCACACGCACACACACACACATACACCACACACGGACACCTCCTATTGTTGGTCTTCTGTGCTGTGACACTGTATTTATCTGCTGCCTGTTTCAAGTCACTAGGCTGGGAATTCCTGAAGGCAGTTACCAGGCCTCCAGTCTCTGGCTAGCCCCTTGCACTATACCTTCTCACATATACTTCAGTCAACGTAAATTGAGTAAGTCAGTGAAGTCAAAGGAGCACGTACACATGACAGGACCACTCATAAGGTACATAGGAGGGTCATATGAACTGTAAGAAGGACTTTAATGCGATCCCCCAATCTGACAACAGACCAGATACAACCTCCTGCAGTGAGAGTGGAAACAGATATATAAGGACTTCTGAAGGCTCGGGACTGCCAGAGGCTGGCCAGGACCTGCTAAGTACTGTCCTGGTAAGTACAGTCAGCTAATGAAGTTCTAGTATCCCCTAAGGATCCCAAAAACCACAGATCTACACACTCGTGGTATTTGCCTGTAACCTATGCATGTTTTCTCAACATACTTAAATCATTATATTACTCATAACAGCTAATAAAATGATAATGTTATATAAATAGTTGTTATGTATATTGGTTAGGGAATAATGACAATAGAAAAAGAATATGAATAGCTGTTCAGTACCCAAAAAAAATTTCCCAAATACTGTCAATCTGAGGTTGGTTGGATTCAAGGATGTGGACCCCAGTGATACAGAGGGCCAACTGTACTATGATGGATAGGTACATAAACCTGCATCTCATTTGTAAGWAGAGACCCATCGAAATAATTAAAACAGAAGCTGAGGTTGAAGCTTAGTGGTAGGGTGCTAGCCTACCATGCATAATATCCTGGGTTCCATCCCCAGTTCCACCAAAAAAAGACACTTTGGGTATTAAATATATGTTATATGCCTGAGACACTAAGCAAATTTCTGAGGCTTTATTGGAATGGATAGAAAACAGTGGGAGAGAAAGCTAAACAGAAGCCAATTTACAGGCCTCTCCATTTACTCACAAAACTTCAGATACATGCAATAACAATGGTCACTTCATTTTTTGATAGTTTTGCTCTGTCTGGGTAATGTGTCATACTTTACATAATCTTATCAACATAGCAGATGGGAGGCAGAGGCCTCAGGAAGTGGAACTAGGATGATACAGCTAACAAAGAGCCTAGGGCTTGCTCACCGTGCTGCCCCTTTTACCTCCTAGTGATGTTAAGTCAGTGAACTACCATCTGCTGTTATGTCCCAGGGCCTAGGCTCGGGGCCTTTGTTCTCAGATGATTATAATTATATGTATCTTGCAGTTCTCTGGGAGCACAGATGCTGTATAATATCTGGACATGGCCTCATATACAGATTATTGGCAGGGATTGGGCCATAACTTCATTCAGGGGCCAGTCATCTTTCCCCTCCCACAGGCTCCTATCTGGAAGGCTTTATTTAGTTCTTCTCTTTGACTTGTAAGTGCTGGCTTCAGCTTGGCACATGCTTCAGGCAACTCCTGGTGTTCAGGCCATGGCCACATACTTGCCCTAAACCTAGCCTAAAATGCTTAAGTTATAATATTTGTTTGTAGCAAAACAAATGTCAAGAACTCAGTCCTACCAACCTTCAGATTTGACCTCCATCTGATTCTGTGGCTGTGATAAGATTCCTGTTTCCTCACTGAATCAGAACATAGACCTTCCAAGAAGAAACACAGTAATGCGGGGAGGGGGATTCATGAAGAGTCAATCTTCCCTAAACCCCTTTCTCTTTTAGCCTTGGAACTTTTACCTGAACTTGTCTGGGGGAAACCTTAGAGACCACAAGATTACAGACTTATGTCCTCTTTAACCAACAGGAAGACTGACTGCAAGAGTGAATTCAGGTTTGTTATGGTTTAGATATTAGGTGTCCCCCAAAAGYTCATGTGAGAGACAATGCAAGATCACTCAGCAGTGAAATGATTGAGTTATGAAAGCCTTGACCCTATCAATGAATTAATCCCCTGATGGGGATTAACTGAGTGGTAGCTGAATGCAGGTAGGATGTGGTTGGAGGAGGTGGGCGTTAGGGTGTGGCTTTGGGTATATACTTTATATGTGGTGAGTGGAGCCTCTCTCTGCTTCCTGGTGTGATGTTTTGAACCACTTTCCTCTACCACCCTCTCCTGCCATGCTGTTCACCCTCACCTCAAGCTCTGAACAATGTAGCCAGTCACCTCTGGACTGAAATCTTTGGAAACAGTGAGCCCTAAAATAAACTTTTCCTCTAATTGTTCTTGTGAGGTTCTTTAGTTAGAGCAGTGAAAAAGCTCACTAAAACAAGATCCCTTGGGAAGTTTATGGTGGTTACAACTGGAACTGAGTCTCTCATCTCCCCCTCTGTTCTCTTTGAATTATACCAGATTGCTATCCAGACTCAATTCCTAGCCCCAACCCCCCAATATTCCTCAAATTCTAAAGAGAGAAAAAAAATTGTTTTGAAACCCATGGCATCCTGAAAGACATTTTCCTAATGCCTTTGACATTTGTCCAGTTCTAGTAGCTCATGCTCTGGATCCTTTTCATCCTCCCTACAGTATGAAAGCATATTGTAGTCATGATCAGGTGCGGTCTTGGGAAAGTAGTCTGTTTTCAAGGTGAAATGTCCTACAACTCCTTAAACCATTAAGAATGGACCATATCGAGTGGGTGCTTAGCAGGGGCTCTGTCAAAGGCAAATCTGAAAAACTTTTATCTCCGTGCTGTCTCAAAAAACCTTGACCTAGCCATGTTCAATGGTGCCATCAGTAGTTCCAGCTATTGGGAGGCTGAAGGAGTAGCACTTGACCCAGGAGTTCAGGGCCAACCTGGAAAACATGGAGAGATGCAGTCTCTTAGAAGTCAAACAAAACAAAAACCACCTGACTCCTGTTCTAAGACCCTGGATAAAATGCCAGAGAACCAGAAGCTAGCCAAGGGTTCTCAACTGAGGGTGATTTTGCCTGCCAGGRGACATTTGGTAATATCTGGAGACACTTTGGCTGTCACAACTGCAGGGAGTGGTACTAGCATCTAGCAGGTACTTCTAAACACCCCCTATGCACACAACAATCCCTACAACAAAGAATTTGTTAGCTTCAAACATCAAGTGTTGGGTTAGACACCAAGAAGTAGACTGTGATCTGGTAAAACATCCAATTGGGGGGACTCTCCTCACTATGACTTTGGAAGAAGAGGAACCTGCCACTTTGCTCTGGATGTGAAGCTCTGAACCCTCTCTTGATGGCATCCCCATCTCCAGTCTACAGATGTGTCTCTTGCTAGGTTTCAGGGCCAAAGTGACAAAGAGACCTGCTTAGAGCCACACAGCAAATTATGAACAGAACCAGGTTTAGAATCCTGATGGTATTTAGTGTTCACATACTGTCTTGTTCTTACAGTTTGTCCTTCCAAAGCTCTTCGAGGACAAAAATGGCTCTCTTCTTTGTATCCTGCACTAAAAGTGCCCATCTCAAAGTAGGTGCTCTTTCAAAATTGCTTGAATTCCCAGTGGAGGGAAACAGACAACCATGGTGCTATCGGAGAGGTCAGTACTGGCAGAAGGTAAGTGACTGCAGGATTAAAGGAGAGAGCCTAATTTTGTGCAGGGGAGTTAGGGGAAAGTGAAGAAAAGGATAGTGGGCTAGATTCACAGCTCTCCTAGCTGGAAAGGAAGATGTAGGGGAGGGAGAGGATGCTTGAGGACTGGAGGGCATTGGCATCGGGTTAGTTAAGAGAAGGGGAATGAACACTGAAATCAGAGAAAACTGGGGGAGAGAGTTCTCCAAACATGCACCACTCCGATTATACTTAGAACAACTGATTTCTAGAGGGAAGTTAGTGTTGTCAAGTCCCTGGGTACAATCTGCAGTGACAAATGGCCCATTGTCTGGAAATACTGATTGGGCCTGTCTTCTGGGGTCACGCCAGGTGGCGCCTCGCTCACCTGTCAGGCTTGCTCTTCCTGGCCCCGGATGTGGATAAAACAATGGGCTCTAAACACATCCATACTCAGAGGCAGTAGCTGGCATCTCAGATAGGGCAAACAGGGAAATGATCCTCTTTCATGACCCCCTTTCTCTTCAGAGATCCAGAAACCCTGCTCCCAGGTTCAGCTTCCTGT